TAAGATTCATCGCGGAAGAAAGTAAAGGATGAAGTAGTAGAAAAGGGGGTAGAAAAAGGGGTAGGTAAGATAGGTAGATAGGTAGGTAGGTGGTAGGTAGGTAGGTAGGTAGGAAAAAGGGATTGGGTTGAATTGAGATTGGGGTGTGGGGTTAGGATGAGATGTTGGATGCTTGAAGTGGAGAGAGATAGAGGTAGAGAGAGAGAGAGAGAGAGAGAGAGAGAGAGAGTTAAGGGGGGAGGGGCGGGGATGACGGAAGAACGGGGTTTTGGAGAGGGTGCTTGATCGAATCCCGAATTACCGCAGGATGTCTCGTTGCCAAAACTTCTTAATTCGTCGTTTTGGAACGACAGGAACGAAAACGGTTGGAAGGAAGAGCACAGGCCTCGAAGACGATTTACTCTCCTGCAGTAGACGATGTTAAAGAGAGGAAGGATGAGGAGGATGTGGAAGAAGAAGAAGGAGGAGGAAGAGGAAAAGGAGGAAGGAGAAGGAGGAGGAAGACGACGACGACGAAGGGGAGGGTTTGAAGAGAGAATGAGGGTGGAAACACGTAGCAATGCACGTCGCGATTTTATCGACTCCCATGGAATTGCATTCGGCCCACGTAAACAGAAATATCCAAAGAGAGAGAGAAAGAGAGGGAGAGAGAGAATGAGAGAGAGAGAGAGAGATCCTGGCACAAGACCCTTTTATCCTCTATACCGTTTCCCAAGTTCTGCAAGATTTAACAAATTCGTGAGAGAGAGAGAGAGAGAGAGAGAGAAAGAGAGAAAATTTAATACACTGGAAGGACATTCTTCGAACGAAATAACGAAATATTTTTTTCGGAATTTTCAAATTAATCTTCAACAATGACATTTTACAAATCGATCAAACTCTATCTTGCCCATGTATATAATATAATATAATATAATATAATATAATACATAATTATAAATGTATAATATATAATTATATAATTATATATATAAAATATAATTTTTATATTATATATTTATATAATTTATATATATATATATATATGTATATAATTTTTATTAATTCAATCGAAAAATTTAATATTTTTCTGGATTTATATACATACATATATATACTGTATCGATAAAAATTTCGAATAGAACGAAAGAAGTAGAAAAAAAAAAGAAAAGAAAAATCTTGCCTTTGAATCGAATCGATGTAATCGACACGAAGTTCCCCTCCTCCCTACTCCCCAACGCCTCTCAAAGCCAAAGAATTGGAATAAACGGTGCGAGAAAGTGTAAAGAGAAAAATAAAATGACTATGTTGGATAGTCGTTTTATTTTTCTATTGCATTATTCAGGGTGATTTCCTCTTTTCATGAGGATCTAGCCAGTAGATAGGTAGGTAGGTAGGTAGGTAGGTAGGTAGGTAGGTAGGTAGGTAGGTAGGTTTCAACGAGAGAAAAGCAGACAGGTTTTCTCGACGTCCATAGAGCATTTAAAATCGAAAAGGGGTTTAGAAATGCAGCCAATGTGTGGCTCACGAATCGCTAAAGTATTCAGAGACCAGGAAACAATCCCAAATGAACTAACAACTCGGTGCTCTACCTGCCAATTATTTGCTCGCAAACTACCATCGAAATTCACGTGATTACGACTGTATTTTGGTACGTTTCAATCCGCGACGGATAAAATCCACCGTCGCTGACCGATCGATCGAACGATCGAACGATCGAACGATCGATCGATCGATCGATCGGCCATTATCGATATAGTATCACTAGTTTAACTACTAAAACATCGGCATCATCGCCATTACCGGTTTGCGCCATCACCGATCGATTCGATTTTGCACGAACGTACGGCAACGATTATCCAGACCGTTTCCCGGAAACGTTTATTTTTCGTAATGGCCTCAACAGCCTACGGTTTATGGTGAAGAGAACGCAAATACCATTTAAAAATTCTAAAACGATAAAATATAATATTTCATATACATCGATACATATATATATATATATATATATATATATATTTATATACACAATACACGTAGTTTATATACAAATACACGTAGATTTAATCGCTATCAGGAGAAAAAGGAAAAACATTATTTCAAAAGTCGTTTTATCATACTTTTATAAATATACTTAATTATCGGTGTTGTCATTGTTTTATCGTATTATTGCATTCGATGTGAACAATATTCACGTGTGAAATGCATTTAGAAATGCAATTATTGCACCTAACCACGAGCTAGAGAGTACCGCACCGTAAATTTGGTTGCGTCTTAAATAATAACACGTCCTTCCCATTGCATACGTACTCACTACCGTTCATTCATTCACTTATTTACTTACTTACTTACTTACTTATTTACTTATATTTCGTAACGCGAAATAATCTATTTTAAATAACTTATCGTAAATATCAGAAATAATAAAATCGTGCATTTCAAGTAGGTGCGAATTATTTTCATACATTAGATTGAAATGATTGAAAAAAAAAATATATATATATATATATTTTTTTTTTAAATTATGATTCATTCCTTTTTCTTTTTTCTTTTTTCATACTTTCCAACATCATTAAATTCGCGTTATTCATTAACGCGTTAAACTTTAATGCGCAATCCTTTAATAAAAATTATTTGGTA